ATTTGGCTGGTAATTTCAGGGCAGGTAGACCTTGACCTAATGAATACTTTCACTTCTTGTCTGATTTGCTCTAAATGCTTTAGTTTATGAGATATAAGTCAAAAACTGCATTTTTCCTATGTTCTATTTTTAGCCATGGTGGCCATGTTTTTTGACTAAATAGAAAATAAAACCCAAACTTTATTCTAGATACCCTACGGATCATTCAGCTTAAGTTTGGTTGGAATTGGTTCAATTGTTTCAGAGGAGAAGATTTTTTAAAGTTAGAAAACATGATAAACAAATTGTGTAAAATTGTCCTTAAAGGGCAATTACTCCTTAAGGGGTCAATTGACAATTTTGGTCATTAAACTTACTTGTAGATCTTACATTGATGAACATTTTTGCTGTTTACAGTTTATCTTTATCTATAATAATATTCAAGATAATAACCAAAAACTGCAAAATTTCCTTATTATTACCAATTTAGTGGCAGCAACCCAACAATGAGTTGTTAGATTCAACTGAAAATTTCAGGGCTGATAGAACTTGACCTAATGAACATTTTTACCTATGTCAGATTTGCTCTAAATGCTTTGGTTTTTGAGATATAAACCAAAAACTGCATTTTACCCCTATGTTCTATATTTAGCCATGGCGGCCATGTTTTTTGACGAAACAGAAAATAAAACACAAACTTTATTCTGGATACCCTAAGGATCATTCAGCTTAAGTTTGGTTGGAATTGGTTCAATAGTTTCAGAGGAGAATATGTTTGAAATAGTTTACACCGGACGGACGACAACGCCGGACGACGCCAGAAGCCAAGTGATGGCAAAAGCTCAAAAATGACTTCAAAGTCTATCTGAATCAGTTATGTTCAAACCGGTGCTAGATGCTGTCTCAAACTTGCAGTTAGGTGAGAGTTTTTGTGGGTTTTTTTTGCTCCCTGTTGAAGGCCATACTGTGACTTTTAAGATGAAGAACAGCAATACAAGTGCTGTTCCTTGGCTTTTTGTGTGTTTTTTTGCTGTGTATACACTGATTTTGTGTCATGGATGAATACCCCCATATCCTTTGCGTTTCTAATTCGGGATCCATTGCTGGTGTTGACAAGTCTTAATTTTTGATATTTTGTGTTTTTAAAACCATGATGCAAAAGAAAAATATCTTTTAATTCAATTGGACATATTTGTCATTAGGTTAATAGCATACCCTCTAAGTATTTCTATAATAAACTTGATATAATGCCATAAAGCATAAACATATATGTAATTTTCAGGAAATAGAAACACTAACTGGGTATACCTTAAACTTATCACATAAATTTTTTTTTAAATTTCAACCCATAAGAGCAGAAGGGTCAAAATTGGTCCTAAGATTTAAATATTTTTTTAATCTAGCCGGAGTATTACAAATAGTTTATGGATATGGTTGTGATATAACTATTTATCTATTTGGAACATAACACTATAATTTATGAAGTAACTGCTATGACCCCTTAATTATTCATAATTTGTGTTGAAACGTCCAATTTTCTATAGTTTATAACAGTTTTTGAATAGTTACTTTTGGCTGCAATTCCGGATCTAGGAATTATTGTTGTGTCTAGGGATAATATAAACATATTAGAAATATGCTAACCTTGGAGCATGTATTATAATTTATCTTACCTCCTCTACATTTCTAGGAATATGATTGGTTGAAAGCAACCGCATGGAGACCGTGTATATTTCATATTGGGTTAGTAGGCGGGGCTTATTTCAATACACGGTTAGTAGTGGTGTTACGTCCCTTTATAAAAACAACACGATGTTGAGGAAAAATCTTAAAGGTTTCAACAGACGAAGAAATTGATGATGAACAATTGAAATAAATTCACAATACACATTTAAAGCTAACAAGTTGTTATTGTTGGCATTTGTTTTTGTATAGGCTAATTGAAGTAGGTTCTTAATACTAACGGTATTGAAGACTTGATCACTTTGATAGGTCACTAGTATAAATACCACATGTTAAGATAGTCGGTAAGATAAATTTGTTACATAGTGTGCTAGTGACCTAATACGATATATATGGGGTCAGTAAATTCCATATGGGGTGAGAGCGAAGCTCGAATCCCCATATTGAATTTACTGACCCCATATATATCGTATTAGGTCACTAGCACACTATGTAACTAATAGTACTTTTATTCAGAGATTTGTAATGGCTTGGCAATATTTTTTTAAATGGACCCATTGAAGAAGCAAACAGTGACCTTTTTAATCTTTATTATGAAGTTGACACTCAAGGCCATATTTTGGCAAAAGTGAAACTTGTTCTTAGTCAGATTGAGGTCAGCCAGTTTGAAATTTGCTGTTTCTTGATAGAAATCAAATGAATAAATTTTGAATTTAGACTTTCCCAATATATTTCCATTGCTGAATGCTTTTTTTACTGCTGTTAATCAAATATGAAGAGAATTTGTCCAGACACTGAACTGAATATCCAAAAGTTTGACTAGAGGTTGCAACATAGGAATATGGACACTGTTTAAGATACTTTTTAACAGACTAGATATTTTTTTTATTTTTATGAATGACAATATAAGAAATTTTATTATGGGTGAATATAAGTGTGTTGTTTCATTATTAGACACATTTTTTCAATTCAACTCACTGACAAAATAAATCATAATAATAAATAACTTACATCACAAATGCTACAATAATGAAAAAGAATCACAATAAAATAATTTATTATATACTTAGTAGTGAATACATGATATCGATATCAATTACAGTTTCAAAGGCTTTATCACACCAAGTGGTCTAAGTAGTTCTACTACTGTAACCACTAGCCAGTCAACACTGAGGTTGTGAGTTCGAACCCCGCTCGTGCGGTTGCACTCGATTCCAATCTTAATTGACTAGGATTGTCAGTTTTCCTATCGAAGGTCAGTGGTTTTCTCCGGGCCAGGCGCGTAGCTACGTTGACGTCAAAACGCCCGGGCGTACAAATGAATTTTGGAGAAAAAATATTTTAATCTAAATAAATTAAAATATCTGGCCAAAAGCACATGAGCCTTGTAGTTCTTTCTCCACTGACTTGTAATTGAAGATAACAGTCGGAGGAAATTTACTTTTTAATCAAATTGTATCATATTATTTATTTGTTCGTTTTCTGTCAAAATCTGAATCTACTGTGAATTATCCTCCCTTTCCTATAGTTTAAAGCAATTCATTATCTGCTGAGATACGATATGCAGTTTTGTCGAGCCTGCGAGACATTCCGTAATCGGCGTTGGCGTCGTCAATATTTATGTTCAGCCTGTGGTTAAATTTTTTTTTAAACATCAATAAATTTGTTAAACCTTTATGAAATTTTACAGAATATAGGCAGAAATGTTTTTATGATCAAAAGAGTATCCAGAGCATAATTATGAAAATTTACTTTTAATTTTTCCGCAATTTACTGAAAAGAACATTGTTTTTATTAGTTAACAAGTAGATACTGTTTGTTACGCATCAATTACTTTGTCAAAACTTCATCGAATTTTATGTAAAAATGTTAACACCAACTCTACAAATTTTTTATTTTGCACCAGATGCGCATTTCGACAATGAATGTCTCATCAGTGATGCTCGAGGCCGAAATATTTGAAAATCCAAAACCTAATAAAAACATTGGAAGTGCTGATCAAAATAAAACGTACCTAAAGTATAGCCAATTCCGGACAAAGAATCAGAGCTTTGCATGGGGGAGATATATTCCTTTATTTTTAAATGATTTCAAAACATTAACAACAGTCAGCAAATTTCAGTCTAAAAATTTTTTTTGGGGAGCAATTAGCAGACGGTCTTGAATTAAATATTTTTCACCTGCTACATTTGTAAACTTTCATAGATTGTTATGAAACTTGAACAGAAGCTTATCTTCCAAGATCAAGAAAAACATTTAAAGAAAACGTTTGATTTCTTTTAAATCCTGTATTTGACTGATAAATGGATTCACTTTTTATAGTTTAACCGACAGCAGCAATCCCAGGCGGCGAAACACAGGATTCCACGGAACCCTTTGAGTATTTTTATATTACACATAACCATCTATGAGAATTTATTATTGCATGTACTTATCCATTAACGAAATTTGCGCATAAAAGGGGAGAAAACTAGATTAAGTCATAATAATCAAAAGAACGACACCATTGAAAATGTAGACTTGCTTTTTTTATATTTCGAAAGGTTTGGATCTTCGGTCGATTGATTGTTTTACCCCACATCTCCTTTTAAACATATTTCATAGTAACAACTATTGGCCATTAGATTCCAAATCAACACACTGAATAAATTCAATCTAATTAAAATATAGATCTCGGATTTCGTTATTATACATGAAAAAATCAAGAAATTAGACTTTAAAGTATGTTGCTATTGATGAGTTTTAATGACAGAAATAGTATCTCTCTCTCAATATATCGTTAGCTTCCGTCGGACCCCTGCTGGGTGGTCCCTTGCCCTGTACCCGCTGGGGACCCTCAAACCCTTCGCCGAGGTTCGGGCGTACACTTAAAAATGGCTTAGCTACGCCACTGCGGGCACTCCAGCTTCCTCCACCAATAAAAACTGGCCGCCACGAAATAGCCCAAAAGCGGTGCTTAAAAGTGGCGTTAAAAACACAAAAATCAAATCAAATCTTTATCACACCATTAATCCGTATGGCGTCACGTCAACAATATCAATCACTGTTGCAAAGGCTTTATCAAACCCCTTATCTGTATGACGTCACATTACATGAAAAAAAATCTACTTGATATATATAATAAATGGTATTATATGATATGGCTTTTTCAATATCACACACCAAATCAAACCCTCAACCAATATAATCCTTCGAGCAGAGCTCTTTGGATTATATTGGTGTCTCGGGTTGACACAGGTGTGATATTGAAAAAGCCATATGATATTCTCTATATATATAAGACTGTTCACAAACTTCAACCATAACAAGTTAATTTAGTCAAGAGACATTTTTCATTTCTATGCTTTAACTGCCTGACACATTTCACATTGTAATGAATTTGGTCCATTTTCATAAGTACATTGTGCACAGTTCCATTTTGGTCCACCACCTCCTCCCATTCCTCCAAACCCTTGACCTCCCTGCCCTGGAATTCCTCCAAATCCTTGACCTCCTTGTCCCATCATTCCTCCAAGTCCTTGACCACCTTGACCCATCATTCCTCCAAGTCCTTGACCTTGCCCCATCATTCCTCCTAGACCTTGACCTCCTTGTCCCATCATTCCTGCCAGACCTTGACCTCCTTGACCTATCATTCCTGCCAGTCCTTGACCTCCTTGTCCACCTCCCAATCCACCTTGACCCATTTATCCTGCTAAGCCCTGTCCCCCCATTCCAGCTTGGCCCATCATTCCTGCCAGGCCTTGTCCACCCATCCCTCCCTGACCTATAAGTCCTGCTAACCCTCCCCCTCCTCCTTGCGCCATCTGATTCAGTAAATTCATTCCACCTCTTCCTCCACCCTGTTGAAGTTGAGCTAAGAAATCCATTCCGCCTGCACCGCCTGCCTGTGCCTGTTGAGCTCTCATCTTTTTTTCTTTATCTAAAATGATAATGAGATCATGCAATACAGATGTATTATGGGAGGACATTTGGGTCAAACATATTATTGAAAGGACTGAATATCTTTAATATTTTACAATTTCAAGGGTCAAAGTATGGCTCCAATCATATTATCACCTTCACATGCAGTCTTCGTGCAATTTTTTTTTTTAAATCAAATTGAGTTACTTATTGACAAGTTTTCATGTAAACAAGAATCAAATCTCAAACTCCTTGGTTTTTTTTTTACATCAGACAATAGATTTTATATAAACTGTTTGTTGATTTTTTTCTGTGTAAGTACTGATAAAAGATTTACATATTGTAAACCTTTACCCAAAATGCTTCTATGCAAACAAAAAAGTGTGTCCAAGCAGAAGATTCGACATATGGCGAATTTTGCTAAATCACCCAATTAAACAATGATGAGGGAATAAAAAACAATAATATGCATAAAAAACATCTTATTACATTACAGTAAGTAAAATACTTACACAAATCCCACTCATGTTTTCTAAGTCTATCTTGTTCATCTACTGACATACCTAGATAAGTAAAAGCAACTTCAATTAATAAGTTATAACAAAAAGCTAAATTAAGTATAGCCTGTTCGTTAGTTCAATGGTGTGTAACGGGACAAGGATAACACAAGTATTGAGTTATTTAACATAGGGATGAACTATAAATGAATCTAGAAAAACATATTGTATGGATTCCTTTTTGTTTCCAAATTGCTAAAATTTCAATATATTCTATACTTTAATATATAAGATCATTTGAACTAAAGTAAAAGATAAATAGAGTTAATAGAGTTATACAAAAAAATGAAATGCTAGCTATAGCTCATAGTATTCTAAAGTTATTATTCTGAAACCGAATTTTACTATGTTCACTAAGAAACAAGTTAAAGTGATCACAACTTTGAAATGGTAGTTGCAGCAGCAGTCAAATATAAAACTTTAACATGTATTTCATGGTAAGTAATATGTTTACATCAAAGGCACCCCTGCCATCTTTTATACAGGATTTGGCCCTAAAGGGATGTTGACCAAATTCTGTTGAAATTCTTCATTATATAAACTGAATACTTCAAAACAGCCTTTCAAAGGATGGAAAATTGCATTTAAGGTGGTACCTAACACTACAGGGAGATAACTCTGTAAAAATCAGCTAAACGTTTTAATTACGTTGTATTGTTAAGGAAATATTAAGCTTCACAATGATCAAAATTAGTGTTTGTCAAATTGCTATATAACCAATGAAATTTTTCTGATAAAGTGGTTGGTTCAAATTTTTTGAAATTTTTATATTTTTGTCAAAGGGTCAAAGTAAACATTTTGTCAAATTTTTATGAAAATTAAACGAGCCAAATTAATATTAGTCAAGGTGTTGGGTACCACCTTAAGCACATATATACTCATACAAAACCATTGAATATTAGATTAATAATTCAACAGAGACTTTACCATTTTTTTTAGTATTTCAAGGGGAATAACTCTGAATGCTCAATAATATTTTACTATTGTGTAAAATTTGAAAGCATCAATCTAAAACAGTAAATTGACCAGCATTTCATTGAAGGTAGTATTGTTATAAAGTCTTACACTAAAGCTAACTTTTGAAGTACCATCCAAAAACCATTTTACCATTCGGAGGTAAATCAAGGGTATAACTATGGGACAGTGATTGTTGCAACTGTAGAAATCAACTTTCAAATGCATTTTATGGTAGGTAGTACATGTATTGCTAAGTTATATGGTCCTACACAAAATAGGAACTTAAAAAAACAGAAATAAGTTGTATGGGACAAACAGATAGGCAAGCTGCTTGCAAGACTATTTTCAGGAAGCATAATAAAACATAGAAATCCTAAATTTGAACCAATTCTTTCGAGTTAAACATCATTTTCTTACAAGAGATGATTTGTCATAATTAAGAATACTTACGTAAAAAATTTATTTCTCCTTTTATAGATGAATCATTTACATTTACATACTCCATTTTGTCAAGGTCAAAGTTATAACTGTAAAATAATTCAATATACATGTAGATACAAATACAAACAGATTCTAAAAAAAAGATAATTCTGGAACTTCAAATACATTATTTTCATTTATTAACAGGTATGAAAAGGCAAATTAATTTCAATACAAAAATGTATTTTAACTCAGTTTTTACTTTATGTGGTTTATTCTATCAGATGGACCAATTTTCATCCCTTTGTAAAATGAAATTTGAACATTGGGTGGAAACTTTACTGAGACATCATCAAGTATCATTATCTATCATAGAACACACACATCTCATCATAATACTTTTGGAGCTACCTCGAAAGGGCCACTTCCTATGTACAAGGTGATAGGACGTGCCGCTGGAATAGGTCACCTTTTCAAGCTTGAAAATATGTGAAAAGGTCGGGGAAAATTATCCAAAATATATGATAAGGTCAATAAAGTTCCCATAACTTCTTCGTCTGTCATCTTTCTTGGTGTTCCCGTCTGTTTTTATCAACCAATTTTTCTCTTTTGACACTTTGGTATTCCACTCTTACATTACACACCACATGAAACCCAAACAATATGGGAAAATGTTACATTTTTACCTACGCAATATATGAAAAGGTATACATTTTTAAAATCTAAATTATATGAAAAGGGTGGGGTAACAGAACAGCGGCACCCCTATCAATTAAGTATTGAATTAGCCCCCCCCCCCCCCCCTCGATCCAATTTCCACTATTATTATTATGTCAGATAATACATATTCTTGACAGAGAGTCATAATTTCTAAATAAAAACCTTAGCTTACCCTATTCCTTTTTGTAAGATGATGACACAACTTTTATTTAAATAAAAATGTACTCTTACCCTATTCCATGGTGCAAGGTCATGACTATGCCTCTGCGACCTCTCTGTGTATCTATATGGTTGAGTACTATATTATTTGCCTCTTCATCAAGTTTCCTCCATTCTGTAGGACTATCATCTTTGAGGGGTGGACAGCTTTTGAGGGAGGTGGGAGGTGGGGGCGGGAGGTGGGAGAAGGGGACGGGAGGTTGGAGGAAGGGGGCGGGAGGTGGGAGACAAAAAATAGGTGGGAGAAAAAAAGATTTTAAAAGTGGGAGGTGGGAGAAGGGTACCCCCTGTCCACCCCCTCCTAACGGGAGGGATTGTGCTTGATTTTCATATGATAAAGATATAATCTTTCAATCAGTTTAATTGAGGCCTTGAGCTGGCATGTCAGTAACTGCTGGCTAGTCTTTTGTTAATTTATGTTGATCATTGTCATTTTGCTTAGTTTTTTCTGTTACCTATTCTAACATCGGACTCGGACTTCTTTTAAACTGAGTTTTACTGTGCGTATTGCTGTATGTTTGTTTATTCTACATTGGCTAGAGCTGAGACTACTATAACACATGTGTTATAGTAGTCTCAGGCTAGAGGTATAGGGGAAGCCAGGGTTGAGATCTCGCAAAACATGTTTAACCCCGCCGCATTTTTGAGCCTGTCCCGTCAGGAAACTCTGACCTTTGTTAGTCTTGTATGTTTTTTTTTAAATTTTGGTTCATTTATATGTTTCGGAATTTAATGTGACGTCCATTTTCGATGAACTAGTATACATTTTTGTTTAGGGGCCAGCTGAAGCCCGCCTCCGGGTGTCGGATCTTCTCGCTGTGTTGAAGACCAATTGGTGGTCTTGTGCTGTTTTCTGCTCTTTGGTCGGGTTGTTGTCTCATTGACACATTCCTCACGGTTTCCAATCTCAATTTTATGTTATATTTTTCAAAAGATTCTAAAGATGAACAATGGCTACGGTTTGAAATAGACCGTGCTAGATATGAGAAAGATGCAAATTTCTTACAAAAAATAATCAGGTAAAGCAAACGTTCAAATATATTCCAGACGAACTCTGTCATATATGGAAAGATATTATAGAATAACTTGGCCTGACAATGAAACAGATAATACATGGCAAATATAGAGGCTAACTTTATGGTCAGAATTATCCTAACGTAAAATCAGCTGTTATAATGACGCGATGCTTAATTTAATCCAATTAAAACAATCTAAAGTAATTCGTTAAAACAAACATTGTATTTTACTTCAGTTCCAGCGTGTCCCTATCGCCGGTTAGCAGCTTATAAATATTGACGTGTCTGATTAAATTTGAAGGTACAGTTTCTCTAATACAGAAGTTTAAAGTTCCTGAATATTGCATTATAAATGCAATTTAATTATTTATTGCAGTTCCTCTAAAGGAATCTAATATTGTTCCAGTTTCCAATTTTCAACGGAGTCAGAATTTTTAATAGTTTTCTTGTCTTCTTAAATATCTAAGTTTTTAGAATAAAGTTAAAAATGAACTTTAACTTTAAATAGGATAAAGGTGCGTGAAGTCGGCAAAAGTGTCCGTTTGTTTTAAATAGTTGGGTTACTGTTAATCTATTTAATAATCTAGAAAGCTGCTGCGAATTGCCCCCGCCCGCCCCCCCCCCCCCCCCCCCCCCCCCCCAAACAAAAAAAACAAAAAACAAAAAATTACCCCCCTTTTTTTTGCTTTTGTGAAATACACTATGCTGTTGCGTATTGACCCTCCCCCGTAAAAAAATTTTTTTTTTACCCCCCCCCCCCCTTTTTTTTTGCAAAAAAAATAAATATTTGAAGAAATTTTCTTTTTAATTTCTGAAATCTGAAATAAAAAAAAAATTGCCCCCCACAATTTCTTTTTTATCCCCCTCTCTCCCCCCCCCCCCCCCCCTTTTTCC